GGGAAAATCCTCGTATAGGCATGGGTCAAATCCTGGAGCCCTGGTCCATCATGATTTCATGTAGCGAAAGACCTTCCAGGTAGTCGAACTCGCAAGTATCGCCAGTAGGTCAACTAAGGTCTCCTGGTTTTGGCCCACAGCCATCTCCTCGTCCACAATAAGGCTGAAACTGAATATGATGCGTTCTTTCCGGATGGGACATCACCAATCATTGAGGACCTCTACCAGGGCCCCGGTTCGGAGCTCATAGCACCGGGGCCATAAGGGGTGTCCAACCACCCAACTCCCGTGGGTCCGTATAGAAATGACAGCCACTTGATGCCGATCATTCCTCCCTTGGGTTGGGTGGCCAACAAGAACGACCAAGCAGCAATAAGAATGGTATCATCTAGCTAAAACAGCACACTCCTGGCCATGCACGTCACATGGTGACGTGGATGGCGGCCAAAGGGCGGCCGCAACGGCGTGAAGGACAGACGTTCCACACCAAAGAAAATGACCGCTACGCCCGCATGAAAGAGGAGATGTCTAGACCTCTCCTTGTCTTCAACTGAGTTCAACTATTTGAACATCATATCAGGTCGTGCTGGGGGGAACTGTTGAACCTCAAGCATTTACTGCTCACTTGGGCACGGCGCCGCATGGCTCGCGCTGTTCGCCCAACGCGCGGCCTCTGGTTCCGAAGTTCGCCCGCACTCGAGGACTGGCGCAAGTGTCGGTCAGAGAAGGTCGTCGGGGGCCATGGGGTCCGAAGGATCACCCCGACCGCGGGTCACCACGGTCGACCACACAAACCACGTAGTCTGCAGCGTTCAAAGTTGAAAGGCTCCAATGTGCCAAAAGCCAGCATGTGACAACACGTATACATAGAATTTAGAATAGAACACGCAAAGACGAGTTTACGAAATGTTGAGACACTGTATTCCACCATTGCGCCAGAAAAATAAAGGGATGATCTTTGATTTCATGTCAGAAGTTCCTTGGAGAACCACCTCGCCTCTTGACCTTAGATTTGTGCTCGCTCGGAAGCTCATTCTAAAGCTAGGGCGGTGTCTGGCCTCCGGTGGCGGCACTCTCGGAGTGAACATGCCCACACCATCCATGGGACTGGAATCGCTACATGTCTTTCCAACACACATCTAACGTCACCTACAACGTCACATCATCATTGTGTGTTACCGATATTGACTTGAACAGGCCAAGAGCCTTTAATAGAAAATGGTGCCTGTAATATCTTCTGAAATGATACTTAATGATGACGACGACCGTGACCCATCCATGGTGATGTCACCCGAAACCACATACGGATTTGCTGCCGTGCCGGGAACCACGTGTTTTCCAGTCCACATGGGTTGCGCGAGTCAGTGTTTAGTGATTTTAGTTGTGGGCTCACAACTCATATAGCAACCCAAAAGAAGGGATCAGAGGGGTTTGGACAAAGTAGGGAATAGAGTTATTTGTTAAGCTGATGGTTCTCTCTTTGTTCATTTTTTATGCGGACAGTTCTTTCCTTTATGCTGGCGGTTCTTTTTTGCATTCTGGTCCGAAATATAAGAAACAGCCAGCCCAAAAAATAGTTGCCCGTAGGCTCACGTCAAGCAGTTGGGGCGATGAAGCCTTCCGCCAGAGTTCCTTCCTCGCTCATGGTTGAAACCGGGTTTAGGGAATGCCTCTGCCCATGAAGACAGAAACTGACACATCACCTGATCACACTAGACTTATCAAAATTAGCGGATCATCAACAACATCCGTGAAACAACTTTGCGTTCTCTTTAGTGAGGCTCACTCACAAACCCCCTCGTTTCAGACGGAACACCGAAAGAACACACTCGGTTTGCGGACGTGCTGCCGTGCGCCACGCGGCTTCGCCCAACCCATCCCGAAAAGACCTTGGGCATCCTCTCGGACAGCAGCTGCATGCGATAGGTGGGCTGCTTCCGCACATTCCCTGGGCCTGATCGCACGAACTCTTTGACGCGCACGTACGACTCCGCGTCGTGTGCATGATGCACGACGTCACGTCGTTTGGGTGACTGTCTGGGGGACCTAGCTTTTGGAGGACCAGGGGAGTGAAGTGCAACTTTTGGCCCAGGTGACGGGAATGAAGAGTCTGAAGCTGAAGAGTCTTGCCCTGGAAGCTGCGGATTTGCTGCCCAAGTGCCAAACTTGGATCCTCCAACAAACACGTGGTCGGATCCCCAAACGCACCATTTTCCTCCATGAGGTTTTGGTCTCAAGCAATCGAATTACATCTAATTGCTAATGATCGTTCTTATATGTTCTTATCCAATTTGTCATCTGAAACGAGCGAAGGGCTGTTCTTTTCAGTCTGAAGCAGAGCCATTACACATTCGGGAGACGGCCCTTGCTAATGGTCCTAGGAGCCGCCCGAGAAAAAGGAAGCTGACAGCTGGGGATGTAGGCAAGTATACTATAATTACCTACCAAACATGTGAAAAAGGCATGATCCTTTCACCCCTACCAACATAAAAACCATCCGCAGTGTCCAGTCATCAGTGGTCCATGTTCTTTCACTGCCCTCTACTGACTGGTGCTTAGTAGGGAATGAGGGAATGAACCACCCCTGTAGGCCCCTCTGGATCCATTCCCCGATTCCCTACTAAGCACCAGTCAGTCTATTGATGTGAACATATGGGGTTCACAGGATTGGCGTCTCAAAATCGAAGCGACTGGACGCCGAGCGTGAGGCCGCCGAAGTCCTGGACGTCGGCACCCGCACCCAGGAGTCCTCTCGCTGTGGACCCCAATTGAGTCAAATTAAAAGTGGTCTCAAAGAGCATAGATTAATAGATGGCACAATCCCCAAAAGATGGTGTCTATGGATCCCAATGGGTGTCAAAGTATACCAAGACCATCCTGTCTGGTGTCCTGGCTGGACTACCCTACACCACTTAGGGATCTCCAGCCAGAGCACCCATTGGATGGTCCAGGTACGAGTCGACGTGTACCTGATTTCGGATCATACGCTCTAATCGATGTCGATTGAAGATGCTTCACATATCTTCACATTGCTATTCCACTAATTATAGGATCCATTGGGACAGCAAAGAGTACAACATCCCTCACCCAAAACCGCTGTCGGCCGCGCCACGGAACCGGCAGTCCCAGATGGATCCGCCCGCTTTCCCCCGCCGGCACCGCGCGTTCTCCAAGCCACGTGGGTCCTCCACGAAGCTAAACTTGTCCAGCCTCGAACGAGGTGAGCCGGAGGTGAACCGTGTGCAAAAGGCTCGTGCTGGTTTTATCTCCAAACATGTCCAACATTGCCAACACATCCTGGGAGAGGCTCTTTTGCGAGGGAAAGGGTGCCGGGTAACGCTGGAGAACCCTCATACTACATGTGAATCCTCTTCACTGGACTCTACTAAGGGAACAATGGGAAAAAAGGTATTGGCTGCGAAAATGCAACAAATCGACCTTGAAACTGTTGAAAGCAAAAGCCATGATCTCCAACCCCCCTGTTTTTTTTTCAGAATTTAAGGTTCTCATCAGTCGACCGATGAAAACCAATGTGACTCCTTTCTTGTGGCATGAAAATCCCCGGCTGTTCAAGGTACCTCTGTGGTCTGAGGTCTTCAGTCGAAGGATCGAGTCAGTCGACTACCCAGCTGGGCTTGGACTCGTGCGCACAGCGACCCATCTGCACCGATCGGGGGCGGCCGCTGAGGTCGGTGCAGGGAGGTGTTGTGGTGATAGGACGACGCCCTCCCTTCCCTTCCAGACCAAGGTCAGAAAAAAACACATCCCTGGAAGGGATTGAATCCAGGTGAAGGGATTCCCTCCCTTCCAGAATGATCAGAATGGTGAATTCTCTCCAATTCTGGAGCTTCTTCTTCATGAACCGAAACGGCCCCAGTCAACCGCAGAAACACCTGCCGCATCCCTCGGCGCTTTTCGTGGGCCATCGTGGCACGAAATCAACCCCTGACGAGGGACTCCCTTGGGAAGGAATTGGGCGACACAACCGAGTAAAAACAGTTGCTGCGGCCACATGTCTGTCTCTTCAAGCTACTTGTGAAGGACCAAAGGACTTTCTATATAGAAGCCTCGCCCAAATCGTCCTCCCCAAGGCCTAACTACATGCAAGCGGACTGGCGAAGGGAATCTTCTGAGAACCTCCTTTCTCTTGGTTCTTCCTTGCAGCAAGGCACATAGTACGGACGTCAACCAGCAAGCAGTAACAACCCAACCAAAGATGTCCAGCACACATAGATGATCCCCGTGTCAATTCAGGGTGAGGGGCCAGCACGCCATCACATGTAAAAAGGACTAAACTAGTGGTGAGCACCACCTATTGCCTATTGCACATAAAATGCAGGTACCCCACCACATGTGTGGAAATCTGCATATCATGTTTGTGTGTGCGACTGGTTCATAAGCCATCACAGAGCCACACAAAATTCACAAAGAAATCTCGAACAAACGGTTATAAAATCAAGGGCCCACCCCCAATCAGGGGGTCATGAAACGTTTTATAATTGACGTTGTCCCCAGTGATTTCATAGGAGATATTGACATGGAGATCATAGATGAATACCGGATCCATGTTCATCCTGCTCCGTGAATGTGTATTAACATAGATCTCGCAAATAGTATATAATAGCCTACCGTACACACGCCCTTCTGATCCCTTCTACCTGTCTTAGCCGAAAAAAACCTATCGTTTTGATCCCGGCGGTCCGGTCGCCCGTCCGGTCGCCACGCGTCCGTTGCGGGGTCGTTTCCTCCCTCGGTGCCGCCCGGCATCCCGTCCTCCGGGACAGGCACCGCACCAAACGAGAAAGACATCTATAGAGAGTGAGCTGAGAAACGGCCAGGGGTGGTTGACTGGGGGTCTGGCTGGGGCAGTCCTATGGCAGTCCCATGGAGTGTCTGGGTATCTGGAGTGCACGGTATTGATAGGTCTCGAACAGTTGTCAACCATCTGCAACGTCGGATCTGCGTTACGATCCGCGTTGCCTTCGTTTCACCATCTTTTTCCTGGTGCGTCGCCGTCTGGACATCCGTCCCACAGAAAAATGGTGGAAGGTGACGCCTCATGGTTCTCCCGTTTCAGCATTCCTCCACCTCAGATCCCCATCACGCGGAACCCGCTGCAGATTCCTTACTGCTCACGGTGAGATCTGAACCCGCGCGCGGTCGTGGATCCAGAGGGTCAAGGCGTAACGATCGCCGTGGGACTCGAGCACCTCATGCCAAATCTCCTGAAATCGACGAGTGGCAAATCTGCTTACCCAAACACTCCATGGGACTGCCATGTATGCTTACATTGACCCCCAGTCAACCACCCCAATGTAGGCATGCTTCAGGTATATGGCATACATGGAGTGGAGTCGTGTCTGAGTTAGTTCCATGCAGCGGGATACAGATCGAGACGAGTCACCCTGGAGGATTCATAAATGAAAAAAGTCACACTCTGGTTCCGGCTGAGGTGTGCGGCATCTGCTCACTTCTTGGATTTTATACTATCTGAGCATGTTTCGAAGAGCTTTTACAATCCAATGTGGGAGTTGTTATATTCAACATCAAGTCTGCACGAGTCTTTGCAGTGGCATCTTTCGATTCTCACCATCCAAAACAGCGCCAATGTTGGAACGCCACGTTAACGACTGCCCAGAACCTGAGTTTCGGTTCTTCCCAGATACGACCGGTGCCGACACAATAAAAGAATAAAAGACAGGTCACTCCCGATTGGCCGGTTCGACTGCGAGTCAGGACTGCCAGTCCCATGAGGTCTCTGGACGTGTGAGGATCGTCTCGACCCGTTTGAGAACGATCGTGGGACGCCCCGAAAACAGAAAACCACTCGACGAGTGGTCATCTCATTCGGACTCACAGTCAGGTAAAAGGTGGTAGACAGTCACCTTGATGCTATGAAAAAAATATATATATATATATTATATATATCAAATTACCACAGCATATACTATATTGTATACGGTATACCGGTATACGGTATACCTAATCAACCATATCATATCATCTGTTCTTATCCTTTTATTATCGCATCTTATCACATCTTATCACTATCACTATCGTTCTTCTCAACGTCATGCACGAAGCATCGGCTTCCCGCCCACCAAACTGCACCCCCCCCACACCGCGCTCGTTGTTTGACACGTTCCATCCTCGGCCATGAAGACCACCATCCGCCCCGTGAGAGGCTCAATGGTCCGTGACGGCCCCCGCCCTGGCGCCGGGAACGAAGAAACTGTGGACGGCCAGCGGCGAAGGTGCAGTGGTTTTGGAGCTCTGCCAAGACCTGTTGCCTGGTTTTGGCTCGGTTCCGAATGGGAGCGAGGAAACCAGAAATTGCATGAAGAGGGGAAGATTGAGACCTGCTCGGCACAACTGTCAAAAGACTTGAGCCTTCTATCTAATCTATGTTTCATTCAGGATGAAGATGGATCAGGACAATGGACCATGGCATAAGAGCAGCCGTGCAATAAAGTTTTGGAGCAGGTCACCAGCTGCACAACATCTTCACGCATACCATATTGTTTTCTTAGTTTACTTCTGCCTGTTGCCAAGATGATCAAACATATATATGTTAAAACTGTTGTTGTCGAAACCACTTCAAATCTAGGATCTTCAAATCTCGGTCTCCAGTACAATGATTGTTTGTGTTTGCCAGTGCAAATACTGGACCGGTATATGCAATAGGTTTCAATTGGTGTAACGGCGTAACTCACCAAAGATTGGGTTGTTCCGAGACTCAGGTTCCAACGAGCTACTAGGCATCCTACATTGCAGTGTGCAAATACAAAGCCACCATGCTTCATGTTGTTGAAAGCTTTGGAACCATCCTTTGAACATACCATCGGTCGACTATCTTAGACGGTCTCACCTTTAGAAGGTCCCGTCTCCTACCCTCAACAAATCCCCAACCAAAACCCTAGGGCTCCTGTCCCATATCCTCAGGTTCGGTCACCGAACCTCATGGAGGTGGGCCAGGAGCCCTAGGGAAAATACCTCCCAAAACGACCTTCCCCCGTCCTCCCCCCGCCCCCTTCCTTCCTTCCAGTCCTTTGGAAGCCCCAGGAGGCTGTGGCGCCGTTCACGTGGCACCGACCCGTGGCCCCCTCAGCTGGCCCCCTGCCGCGGCGTTCACGCGTGCGCGCCTTGGTCAAAGGCTTCCCAGGCTCGAAGCTCTCCACCCACGGACTTCGTCCAGCCTGGGGCGCATCGAGTTCGTCATGGCCCTACGTGCGCGTCGCGAGGGGGGAAAACCACGGGTTTTTGCCGGGCCAGGTGGATCGGCAAAGAGATCATCGGAGGGGAAACGGAGAAATCGGTCACTGAGAGGATACCATGTACCTGCCAGGCAAGCCGCAAACAAGCAAAAAAAAATCTTTTTGAAAAAAGGATTTCTTTTTGTTTTCGCGGTTGTGAAGGAAGAGGGAAAAAAAAGAAAACCCGGACTCGGACGAGAATCCTGACATGAATGGATGCGCTGCCATTTTTGTTCAAGCGTGGGCAATGCAGCGCGTGCATGCTTCCGTCATCCTGGCTTGTTTCGCGGGGAGTGCGCAAGTGCAGCGTTTGGCGCAGCCGTCTTGATGCAGCTTGAAGCAGCTGTGTTTGAAGCAGCTATATGTTTGCGCAGCTATGTTTCATGCAGCCGTGCACTATGCAGCCACGCTTGCTCCAGTCTAGGTGCTGCTCTGTTGCCCCTCATGGTTCCAGCAGATGAAGGGGTCTTTGCTGCCTTCGAAGGCCTGCGGGAGGAGTGGGACAACCACCGTCGTTTGCGGGAGCGCGTGCGAAGTCTCGGCCGGCTGGTGGTTGACAAGCCGAAAGAAGGAGAGGCGGAAGAGGCAGGGCAGGTTGTGGCCAAGACGGTGGAGAACATGAAGTACAATGCCCCGGCCTTGAAGCCGATGATGGAGAAGATGCGCGGCCAATTTCATGTCGTTCCTCAAATTGAATCTTTGCAGGCTGAGTTGCAAGCGCTCTACATCTCGGCTGGCCTCAACCCGACTGGAAAAGTGATCAGTGACCAAGCATGGTCATTGCGGTACTTGTACAGCCTCTTGAAAAAGTACCTGTACAACAAGACGCCTCCTCGAGTGACTTGTCTCAATGCCCCACTCCTCTGCCCAGTACAATTGTTTGCTTCGATCAGTCCGAGGATGCTTGCACTGGTGAACTCTTGAGAGCATGGGGTGTTGACATGGAGCACTGGACGAAGGCCTGGAAGGCTTGCTTGTCTTTTGTTCTCGCCGCTTGCGCGTGGCCCTGTGCAGTTGGAAACCAAGAAGTCTTCGCCCAGAGCCCGCGGCGCAGAGGACTGATTGTGTGTGTGCGTGTGTGTGTGTGTGTCCACCCCTGGACAAAGGGTTTTCCACCACCACTTCTCACAGGCAGGGGGCAGCAGGGAGTCCACAGTTCTGCTGCCAACGAAGACAGCTGTGGATACTCCGTGAAGCAGATTGGGACGCCAATCTGTGTACCTGCGCCAGTTTTCAACTTTTGACCAAGCCGTTCCAATCTCTCTCTTTTGTTTTCATGATGGTTCATGATACTTCCCCCAAACCATTTCTTGCAGCCGCGTTGTCTTGCCGCTGAACCGCTCTGCAGACTTGACCAACAACTTGTTAAAACACCTACAATTGTCTCGGACTTTCCGCCATGCTGTTCCACCGCCTTTCTTCCCAACGTGGTAACTGAGTTCACTGAATACAAGTGTCAGAGTGTGTGGCGTGATGTTCGGCTTGTATTTTCGAAGCTTCTGGCCACCTGTTGGCCGTTTTCCCTATTTGCCGTTTCTAACATGTTTGCAGCCTTTTTCTGGCGCCATGTCCGCAGCCATTTCTTGATTGCTCTTGTTCTGTAGCTTTTTTTTCTGGCCGTAGCCTTTTATTCAAATCCGCAGCCTTTTCCAGAGCTCTTTGCTGCAGCCTCCCGCAGCATCCCGTAGCCTTTTAAATTCTGCCGTCCTTTCACGCTTTCAACCCGTAGCTTTAAAAGCGCGTGGTACGTGTTTTTTCTGCTGCCTTTTCCTTCAGCTTGTTTTGGCAGGCTTGCCCCGGAGCCATTTTTGCATGCTTGTTTTCACTTGTCCCGGACTAAGAAAGGAATACCCGGACTAACCCGGAGAAAGAAAACTATTTCCGGAAAAGATTTCTTTTTTTCAAAAAGATTTCTTTTCGTGGTTTTCAGGTTTGACTGGTGGATCTTCCAACTGGGCCAAATTAACCCCTTTTCATTTTCCCTTTTCATCTATAAAACCAGCCAATAGGCAAAAAACATGCAAAAAAAATGCGTCGTCTCGGTTGGATCCGCGGCGGTGGTGCGAAGAAAATCAACACCTCCAACACGCTTTCTCTTCCGGAGTCGGAGTGCATCTGCAGTGTATGTATGTACTTGGGATGAGGCTCCAACCTGCGTAAGAGTTCAACATGCACGAAGGATAAAGTACATTGAGCTCTTGTTCGGGGATCCTTCAAATTCGGGACCAATCTCATTGAAGCCAGAGTCCTACAAGTGTCCCGGCCTGGCCTCGTGGATGCGTCTCTCCAATCGTTTTTGGGTGGATTTACCCTGGTTCCAAAGCTACAATGACTAAACCCGTAGACCTAGAAACCGTGTATTAGTGGCAACTGGCAGTAAATGAGATCCGGGGATATTGACCTGGTGGGGAGATTGCAAGCGCGCAATGGATCAACAAATGCTTGTGGAGCTTTAAATATTGACTCTTCCTTGTGGGTTCCCAAGCTTGTGTCAAGCAACTCAGTCAAGGATCAAACCCCACTTTCGTTTGGATGTAGCATGAACCATGTTCTTACTTCACGCCCCTGACATTCAGAATCGGACGTTTTGCCAAAAAACAATAATCTAGCTATGTGAAGCACCATCTCTCTCCCTCTCTCCGTGAGTGGAGAACACATGGAAAACAATCATTGAATGCTCGCATTTCACGATCCACACGAGCTCGGAAACCACACATCTCAGGCCCATCGATGCCATGCATCGGCCGAAAAACGGGACCTGACTGCCGTGCAATTGGTTCCAAGCTACCTTGGTTGCAGTAGAGCAGGATGGTCACTTTCCGAGGGATGTCATCTGGACAGCCTTGGACACTGATCTTGGACGCAGAGACGTGCGTAAGATTGCGTCTCGGACGGAGCAGTGCATGAGTGGAAAACCATCGGTTGCATGTCTGCAGGTCAAAAAATGAGGTCTTTGTGTGTCCCTCTGCTATAGCACCACCCAATTTTTCAGGTGGTTCTTAATAATGGCTAGTAATGCATCATCAAGGGATATCAAGGGTGTCTATAGTCGCCCAAAACCACAGTGGTTGTCAGGGTGTTCATTCAACACTTCGACCGTGGGTCCAGGTAGTCCTTCTCCTCAGCAAATATGGACCTGAGGCCCCAGCCATGGAGGAAATAGCCTTGGCCATCGCTAGCGGGATGGGTGTTCTTCGACATGGACAATGCTTCGGCCAAGTGGGTTGCGACATCGGACGCCGGGAACAACTCCCTGGAAACAAGGCCCCAGCAGTTTCCCAAGAGCAAACAGGTGGTGAACATGATTCCTTCATGAAGAGTATTTATAGATAGAAAAATGATGGAACAATGGGCGAATGGTTTATTGATGAGTCACATTGCGAGGCCTTAATACCAAGAAAAAAAACGCTCTTGTTCATGGGGCTTAGCTGGCAAGAATCTTTCACAACCTTGGTGAAGACCTAAGGTGTTGACCAAACATCGCTTGTCTGGATGTCAAGATGGTGACTTTGCAGGCTACTCCAAGGTAAGACTCAGGCCGCCCCAATCTTCCCTGAAACACGCTCATGCCCCAGTCAAAGAACCTCAATTCAACCCGCGTTTGGGAGTGGTCCATCCCTGGGCGTGTGAAAGCGACTAAAAGAATCCCACGTCCAAGCCCTGGAACCGGAACCTTCGTCTATTGGGCGAGCTTTCGCCATTCATGGGCCTTCGGTGGTCGAGCAGAACGGTCGTTCATCCGCCATCTGAACACCGGATGCCATGCCATGCTGAATCCCCCCATCCACCTTGCACTGGACGGATGGACCTCCCGACCACCCCAACATGAAGCCCTGAGCATCGACCGGCTCCGTGAGCATCGTCCGAGCGCACCGAAGCGGCAGCGTCACGTCCTGGCCAAAAGCGCTTCCCCCTTGCCCTTCTCAGAGCTGTCCACAGCTCTAAGACCACCGAGCCACTGTCCAAGTGCATCTTGTAGGATGCCTTCGGTGGGTAGCAGGCCGCCATAGCAGACTTGGGAACTGCCAGTTGCAGGCCTCGACGTTTGACCATTCGGTCCGTCCAACGGATCCAACGGATCCAACAGTCGGGTGGAAACCGAACAAACCACCGCTGACTGTCCCTCTCCCTCTCTCTCTGCAGAGTCTAGCTGTTTGACTGTCGGACACTTTCACGGACAAACGCCCGCATGGGGCGCCCCATTTTCGCTCACAAGCGACGGTCTCAGCGTGTGATTTGGTGAGCGCAGTGCGCAGTGCGTGGATCTAACGGAAACCCGAAGTGTCTTGTGTTCATTTTCATGGCACCCCGGCAGGCCCATGACACACACGAACCTTGTCGTGAAATCCCTCAAAGTTGAAATCTATAATAAAGAAATCTGGCCCAGCTCCTCAGCCTCATCAGTTCGGGACTTCTTGCGTAGAAACGATCTCAACCTCTGATGTCTCAGCATGTATGAAGCCATTGGCTCAAGGGCTAGGAAAGAAAGCTGTTCCACACTTGCCTTGGCACATGGGATTGTATGCCAATAAGGAACCCCCCACCCATGAGTTCTGGTCTATATATGTTTTCCTTCTTCCAGAAGGTCGAATTGGATATTCCCTCTACTGATCTCTATTGTAATACACATGCATCACCTCGTGTCACCTCGCGTCACCTTTTGCGAGACTGCTTCGGAGCACTTCTACTCCGTATCACTTATCCCACCCACCCATGCCGAAGCCCGGAAATGCCTATGTTATAAGACAAGGGTGCCGAAACCAAGGTGTCCTACCACGTGATTCGCAACCATGGACATGTTGTATGGCAAGAGAGTCCTATAACAACCTCTTTTAAGGATGTGCATGCAGCCCCGCCAACGCACTTCGGTGTCCTTGGACCAAACGAAATGAGGTTCCTTTCTTAATTGTGACCGGGCCTGCCACCCCTACCGTCCGTCCCATCTGAGGATATGTCTAGAAGTCTAGGGCTGGACATCTCAAAATGGTTCTTTTCTGACTGCGGCAGTAGTGGGTCTCGAACAACAAGCCCCTAGCTTCGGCCGCGAGGTCGTCTGCCGGCCTAGCTCCTCTTCCAGGATGGATGCTAAAGCTGCCAGCCTCTGCATGACCTCCGCCGTGGTCGTCCGCGCATGACAGGGTTTCGGACTTGATGAGTGCCTTCTGAGGACCATGTCAGTGGAAAGGTCGCGAAGCAAAAGGCCTGCCCTTGAGGATTCTTTTTCTGGTGAGGATTTTTTGTCTGATAGGACATGGTTCCCTCAAAAAAGGGTGAGCCACTGATGGAGTCTAAATCCGCCCTGGAATCAGGGAATTGCCATTTGCTGTACTTGCCTATGAAGTACCTGAAGTGTTTACGTCGGGTTGACCTTCTGCATGATCAAAACCCCATATGATGCAAGGAAGCCACATCATACAGATCAAACGGCCAATGGAAACCGCGAGCATCTTGAAGAGGAGAACACCAGCCACCCATCTTTCCTCCCACCATCTCCCACCTCCCTCCCTTCACCTTATTCCAACCAGGGTCCTCCAAGATCGGTGCTTCCTGCCAAAAAAAAACATGTGCCCAGAAACCGCCCCGAAAGCCCAGCCGGTTCTGCAGGAGGGTTCCTGAAAAGATCCGAATTTAAACATCGTCATGCTTCTTGACCAACGGCACCAGTGGCAAAACCAGCTGTCGAATACAAGTCGGCCTGCCCTGTCGGCTTCCATAGAACGCAGCGTGAAAACCAAAAGGGTTCCGGTTTCAGCGTGGAAGGATGTGGAATGAGCCACTGAGTCAGTCCCAAGTGAATTGTTCTTCCGGACCATGAGTCGCCCGTGAGGCCACCTCTCCTACTTCTACCAGGCACTCGCGGCACTACCTGCAAGGCCCGACCTGCATGGTCACAGGGCACGACTCGCGAAACTGGGTGGCGTCGTCCGCGAAGGGGAGATACTTGGCCTCCTCGGGCAAGCGATTCCGCGCGCGCGTGCACGGAAGTCGCCCAGAATGGCGAGTCCGGGGGCTGCTGCAAACCGAGCAGCGCCGCGAACAGATGACAGCGGATAAAACGTTGGGAATGCCGAAAGAAGATTCTGGATGGATCTGGATCCTCGAACAGGCGTTTCTTCTGGCGACAACAGGTGTCCAAAAACATCCAAAACCACCTGTTCTAAGTCGGATGCAGACCGTCCTGGCATACGACTATATCAATCGGCCAGGATCTGCCCATTTTGGAGACGGAATGGCAAGGCCCTGATCTACATTAATCTACATGAGATAACATGAGACATCATGCTGCCATGAAGTAGGGTGGAAGAAACCACAACATGTAGATGGGTGAGGTCGCATGCACGAAATCGTGGATTGCTTCCCCAGCGGTGGGCCTGGTCTGCAAAGCCCTTCGTTGATTAGTAAGAAGCCCCAAAAGCCTACATGATGCTCAGCACAAGTGGGGGCCCTAAGGCACATCACGAGTCTGAAAGGCACATCACTGCATGGCCATGACCTAGTACCTCACATCACATGGTGCCAGGGCCATGTGCCTCCATCACAAGCATCATAGCAGCCCCGTCTCCTGCAGCGGGTTGCACACATCGTTGGTGTCATTCCTGGCGACGCAGCTCCCGACCCGTCGACGATGCGCACCACACGGTCCGAAAGGCGCGAGGTGTATGATGGTGTATCCCAGACACTCCATGAGACTGCCATAGGACTGCCTACATTCACCCCCAAAACCACCCCAATGGAGGCATATATGGCATACATGGAATGTCTGTAGAAGGGCAGTTCGTTCAGTGCCCTTCTACCCCTGGCACACTCCATGTATCGAACGAGCGATGGATGAACTCTCTGGTCAGGGGGGCTCACTCCTCCGTACCTCGGTCCCCACCCCTGGCCTGATCGCTATGTATCGTTTGAAGTGGTGGATGTGGTCATCTCTGTCACTTGACCCATCCCCCGGTCGGTTTGCTTCACCAAGCCGCTGCAAGACCTGTTCCTGTCGCATCCTCTGCAGTTCCAGCTTCACCTCAACCACAGCAACGAACGTGCCCATCGGTTGACTCAGAAAAAGCCAAGAGATGGAGTCAGGAAGCCACGGTTTTGCGTGGCTGGTGCCGATGGTTTGAAGGTGGCGCGGTGATTCGAAGGTGCTCTTTTGCAGGTGCGGTGCTCGCACTTCTTCACGAGATTGGCTCCCAATGTACTGAAAATGAGCCTCTCTGAAGTATGGCTGTTGCAACTTCCAAGAAAACAGTGCTACAAAAAGGCCCATGGCTCTAACAACGCTGACTCCGTCAGGTTTCCTTCGAAACCAGTTCTTGTTGACCTGTTCGTGTTTAGTTCTTTTCTATCTCACCAACTGACTCGCTAGGACGTCCAACCTGCGGAGTTAGGCGGAAGTAAACCAACCAACCAGCGTCCGCCTGACCTGTTCGGCCCATCCAAATGACATGTGCGCCTAAACAGTGCAAAGGCCCCGTGAACAAGACCAAACCGAACCCCCAACAAAATCCAACAAACTTCAGCCCGGGATCTTTGCCCGAACCAGCCAGCTGCTGCTGGTCATCCCTTCTGATCGGCTGTGAGCGTGGCATACCACTTGACATACTGTGCCCCCAGCCGTAAACCCGCCGCAAACCCCGCCTTGCAAAGCGCCTCCGGTGGCAGCACCTCATCCAAGACCACCAGCCTCTTCGCGCGAAGTTCGTCCAGCGATTGCCGCAGCTGCTCCTCCAAGGGGTCCACGCTGAGGGGCGAGTGCAAGGCCTCCCATCGGCGACGGTGTCAAGACCATCATGAAGTGTCCAGATGTTCGCAGAACATCCGACAGTTGTCGTATGGTGTCGTCTTGCTATTCTTCAACACCGAAGATCTCAGAACTGGAGGCATTTACAGTTCTAAGCAGCTTCCAGATTGGAAGAACACCGTGGGTCCATTCACTTGTGGAGTTTCCTTTGGGGTCGATCAAGGCCCTCCGAGCTAGATCGAGTGGTTTTCTGGCCGGGCCGAGCTGATGCCGCTAGTGGCGGCCGATCGCCGGTGACACAATGATTCTGCTGGCATGCTGTTCTTCCGACTGGTCCATACATCGGCGCGTCACATGGCCCTGGCATGTCACCCTGCCCGGTGTCATGGCCCGGAGTGGTAGGCACCTTGGGTAGTAGACACTGGTCAGCCACCCCCATCCTGCATGATCGGCGCATCGACTTGCCATGCGGGGCGACGCATCAAGACGCAGCCATACGCGGCCGGGTGAGTCCGGTGAGTCTTGCTTGGCAGAGTGGAGTGGGCGAGTCATCGGGTTCTTCCTTGCTCTAAGGTCTTTCAACTCACTGGCTTCGGAACAAACTCTCCGGCCGCTGGTGCTTGTGTATGGTCGAAATGCGACCTGCTGGTTTCAGTTGTCGTGAAACTCCGAAAACATTTGCCTAAGGCCAAGCAAGACAGGATGCCTAAGGGATAAACAAAGGAATCTAGCAGATCACAGGTTCGCCTCCTGCGATGTGCAACAGTCATTGACCACGGATGAATTAACTCTTAGGAACTTGTGGAAGACTAGCCGTGCGCGACACAAGAACCACAGATCTTGGCAATTCCAGTCGAGCCGTCCAGTCGCAGTTCCGACTCTGACGATGCTGAGTCCGAGAGAGGATGACTGAGTCTCCTGGTAAAGCCATGATTGGTCCGGAACGCCCCCCTATCAGTTTGGTCCGGCTGTTGGCACATCTTTCGAGCCGCACCAGCTGGTCTTCTTATTTCGACCTCCTGGCCCCAGTTTTCCACAAGGGGAATGATCCTCAAGCCCTCCAAGGTTTTGGTGGGTCCATCCTCTTGCCTTCGCCTCTCTTGCCTTTGGCAGCTTGCCCACTCAGTTCATTGGATAGGACATTGACCAAACCATGCCAAACTGGTAGATACGCGCAGCAAATGCAATGAATCTGAACTCCTCATTGGCAGCAACTGCATTATCTATATGCTGGCATCCGGCATCTCAACAAATGCATCTTCTTCCACATCTTCAGCCTTCCCCTCACCCACGAGCATCGTGCTCCATATCGCTCCCGGGACTCATCTCATCAAATCTCACTGCCCTACACTTGGCTGCAAATCCTCACTGCAGTCATCCAGAAACCCAAAACTGCTCCCAGAAAATCCTTGACGAAATTCTTTGCAAACTCCACCCAGCAAAATCCAAAAATGTTGCTTTTCAATCTCCCGAAGGGGGTTGCCATAACACTATCCTCAATTCCTTTGGTCCTCCCAAACTGGAGAAACAGCATACTCCCCAAACACCTTCTCTTCCACCTTCCTTCCACTCTCCTTCTCCTTCCTGATCGTATCTTCAACCCCTCTTCGGATCCAGTCAGCTTTGCTCATCCCAGCTTCCAAGTCATGGCCCTCATGCGGCCCTCAACGCGACTCAACGCTACTCACAGCTACTCACAAATAGTCATCCGAATCCTCATTTGCTTCACGTGCTCATGCTAATCCAAGTCCTCCTCTTCATGGAAGAGACTTTTTGGAGGATATATCCTCATGGAGACTTATTTTGGGGGACCCCTCTTCATGAAGAAATTTATGTCTTTGGATGTCTTTGGGATCTCCTCATGAAGAGATTTAGTCTTTGCGGACCTGTCCTCATCGATAGACCTCCCGATTTATACAATGTCATCCCAAAGTCACCAAACAGTAGACCTTCACAGGGGTTAACCAATATTATATAATCATGGCTCTACATTCAAAAGCATCTTAAGTCCAAACATTGACAGTGAATCTGCAAAAAGACTTGGGCCCAGACAGCAAGCCAGCTGCTGAGAGATGCCGTTGCAACTTCTTGTTGATCCGATACCTGTTGGGGATTTCGTCTTTGCCTGGAGCAGGCATGTCATGGCATGCCACATGGAATCCAGTTTCCAAGTCCTCTTGGAATGTTTCACAAAAAAGGGGGAGGGGATTGATCCAGGTACAGTTCACTCACTCCAAAGATCCAGGGAAGGGAGGCCAAGGTGGCCCGTGGAGCCGTTCTTTCTTCGCCCACGTTCTCTTCGGGACCGAGATCCAGTCCCGACGCGGAGGTCCCGACACCTCAGGGCTACTAGGCTGGCGTGGCGTGCCACTTGGGCAGGCTGCTGGAGGTTGCGATGCGCCTCCAGCAGGAAGCCTAGTGGCAGGAAAATCGAAGGGCGGAAACCGAACGAACGAACGTTCTGCATCGGTTTGAATACAGGAATCCTCTCCTAAAGTGGCATAGCACATCATAGCACCAAGGATGGCCAGTTTGGAACATGACTTGCCACAACGAATTGATTTATATAGATATAATCTCTTTATCAATCGAACAGCCAACAACGACAGCGGCGGCCTTTCTGCACCAGCTCGGCTTGCCCCTCTTTGCTGCGGCTGCACTCTCCCACGCAGCTGATCCAGTAGCCAGCCTGGTGTTGGCTGCAAAGGGCAACTACCTTGCATCTCCTGACCCAAAACTCGATCACACACCAGGACCTTCCAACTTCCAACATGGCAGGTTGTCTTGGGACGCCGATCTTGGAGGGTCGGCAGGCAGATCCTCCTGATCCCAGAACCATAGCCGTGCCTCCTGGTCCCCCAGCAGGGCGCCCATGCGCTGGATTTCCTCCATGAGCACCTATGGCCAAGCAATAGGAAAGGCTCTGGGCGCTTCCCAAGGTGGTGGTTAACTCAATATATAAAAATATATAAAAGGTCTTGCTGCTAGTGCACAAGAACAGTGGCATCAGTTGCACCTACAGAAAGACCCCCATGAACATCAACTCTGGCAGCATTGGCGATGCCACGTCTTCTCCACTCTCTGCCCACACCGAGCACCTGCGCATCTCCCTCTTCGATCTGTCTCTCCCGCCCGCGTACGCGCTTCATCGCTTCGAGTGCCATTTGCAGCGTGGAGAGGTCTACGTCTTTGGCCATCCGTGCTGCTTGGCCCAGACGCTCCTTGCACCGCTTTCCCCGCCGGGGCGGATCGCCAGTGGTTGAGTTGACGACACGTTGACCCGGACTGGACACGCTGAAGAGCTGGTCGTTAGGTAGAAAATACGGATGATCTGTTGGCACGATGGCCAAATGATTGGTCCAACTTCCACATCATCTTCGTACCCATCCTTCCATCGCTTCTAACATGAATCTAATATCATGATATTCCACCTTCAGCTCCTTCCTTCTGCCTTCACGCTCCGTCACTCGCCGCCGCCGAGTTCCCGCGGCGCCGTCTACGACGCGGCCGCGGACAGGTGCGGCGCCTGGGCGAGGTTCAGGAGGCCCAGCGACTCCAAGGCCAAGGCGCTCAGCATGCCGCAGCGCAGCGACTCGCTGGTGGCGCACGTGCGCAGAGCTCGCTCGCATGAGATCTCGGTGCGGGCCGTGTTGGAAAGCAACTGAGCGACTGAGCAAGAAAAGCGGAGAAAGGCGAAGTAAAACGAAGCAATGAGGTGTTTGTGTTTAAATATGTGTGGATAGATGTGGAAGTAGGTTGGTTGCCTGGTCACAGCTCACATGCTCAAAAGCTGATGAGATGCAAAACACTGTACATCGTTGGCTGGATGGTGGTTGAAACCTTCCAACAAATATGAGTCAACTTATGGTTGGAAAGTACAAGTGAATAAAAAATACCAACCAGTTATTGTAGATGTGGAAGTGCTCGACCTTCTCAGTACCTGCCAATGAGAAAAACACCCACGCATTGGGCCCCTCTGTTGATCGCAAACCTCTTTCAAGAGCTTCCTTTCTAATTATAAATAATTAAATTAATTATATATATATATAGGGAAATGCCCTTTTTTGCTAGGGTATGTTCAGCAAAACTGAATGCAATGTGAGGTCTTCTCCTCCCCCTTTAGAACTTAATTCATGGAATTGAACAGCATCTCCGGGTGGAAATCTCCATTCCACCAACATTTCTAGCGATTGCTGAGCCAAAACTATCTGTCGCTCGCGTTCCATGGCCCCAGATTTTGTTCCATCTCCCCGGCTTGAAGGGGAAGGATATGGATCTCTTCGGGGCTCTGAAGCGCTTCCACCGAACCATTTCGTCCTCGCTGGAGTCTCGCTGGAGCCGTCTGTATTAAGTGCCCTGGCCAGCGCATCAAAGGGCTTCCCCTCCTCCAGTGCCTTCATGGCCAGTGCTGCACAGCCCTCACTGTCAGGCCTCCGAACTGGGCGGCGAAGCGCCTTCCAAAAGGCGCTTCTGGGAGTCCGATTTGGCAAAGGTCGGTGGTGGAACACATGGGTGTGAATCCAGTGACATCTTGTTTTGGTGATGGAGTGCTATGGATTGGGGATGCATCAAAGCGCATAAAAGGTGCCTAGTTGCCGGATGGGGGTTGTGGGTGCACGCAAATTGAATATGGAACAGACTTCGTTACTACACTAAGATGAGGTCGTATTGTATGATTCGGGGATGTGCCCTTCTCCATGCACATCCTGACCGTACAACGCCGTACAACCTGAGCCCACCCTGCCCATGCACAGCTTGTTGCAGCGCAGTCGTGCCAACCGAGAAGCGCAGGCTTCGGCAAGCTCAGCTGCTTGGACTCGCTCCATCGCCGCTCCTGGCTGCATCGGAAAGCTATTCCCTTCTGTGCATCCCAAACGGTCGATGGAACTGCCGATTGGGCCATTCAAAAAGAGCTCCAAGAACATCTACGGCCGGAAAAGGGACAAAGCCACAAGGAAACTACACCCTGGGCTTCATTGACTACCAATTAAATAGCCTTTGTGGAAAGCATGCTTGTTGCAAAACAACAACTATTTTCTTGCTTGCCATTCCTTGCCTCCGACCCAGCGTAGACGAACCGTAGAAGGTGGATTTTTGGCGTAGTGCGTCTGTCTTTTGCGCTGGAAGAGGCATTCTTTGCCATACAACCTTGCCTCAAAAAGCCATATCAACAACACGAATTTCCCACGACCACCGGTCGGACGAGTGGAAATGGATTTCACACGTCGACTACCGCTGTTCCGAAAAAAAACACTCTTGCAACAGCGCACGCTAGAAGAAACAGCATTGAGCATATGCATCTCGAGAGAAAGAGGAATTGAACAGGGAGGAAGTTCTCTCTTCAGCTACTGATCTTGCAAAACACAGCCGAACTCAAGGCCCACGCAACACAGATTTGGGTACGAGGTTTGAAAATAATACAAGGACTTTGAAGAATTCCGAGGCCTTCGCTGAATCCCAACGGTTTGCGAGACCAAAAAGCAATAACATAGCATCACACCTAACATGGCTGTGGGTGAAAACCAGGAGACCTTAATTGACCAGGGGCCTGCACCAGGGGAAGTCATGCAGCCCAAGCCATTATGGCAGCTACAAGTCAACACCCCCAACAGCAGCACATACCGCTGCAGGCACTTGCTCTACGTTCACATCAAAAGTTTCTTGACGCTGTTGGAGCCGCTGTGTGCAACCTCAAGCCCCCCAAGCACTGGGACAAGGAACCACAACAGGAAACAATGACACAAACATGTCCTGATGCAAAAGAACACTGAAGGAGGCCTGGGTTTGACGTGGCAAAGCAAACAGGAAGCGGGGCAGTTAATGAGAAGAGAAAAAGATCTTACCATCTTACCAAATAGACCATGGTCTCGGAGGCTTCTGATAGAAGCCAGGCTCAGCGTGCAGTCTTCAGGTGTGGCAGTGGTCCAAAACCTACGAGTCCGAGATGATGTTGGCAAGTAGGGTTCCGACAAACATAGTCGGAAAGTAATGAAAAGAACCAATTTGCCAAGTAAACCCTCACCTTTCAAGTGAGAAGAACGCGCAGGAACCAACGGCCCAAGCACGGCCCCGAAATAGAGGAACCAACCATTTCAACCAACGCGTGTTGCCCCAAAGTTCCAGAACACATGCCACAAGTGAAGTCCCGCCACCCCAAAACGCCGCAGCTGATCTGCTCGCCTCCGCCGCCGTCCTCCGTAGCGCGGTCCGCTCGGGCCACCTGGGGACCGAGGGAGGCCGTCGGCGCCGTGGTGAAAACGGGTCGTTGGTGAAAACGTGTCTTTTGGGGATGGTTTCACTTCGGAATCAGGGGTTACGTGGGTGGCATGGCCCTGTAACTAGGTAGGGACGATTCCAGGATGATCCTTTTTGGAACAGGTGGCGAACTCCACTTCCATGATTGATTCTGGGGATTTTTGGGCATTGGACTGGTGGAGTTGTGATGGACTAGTGAAGTGATGATTCGATGGTTCGAAGCATTGCGATTCTGGTGGTCTGATGGTGCACTCAATAGGATTGGAAATAGGATTAGATGCACGTAGTGGCCCCTCTGAGAGATTATGCCAAAAAACATGTCCTCCAAAAAAATGTACTGGAAATGGTTTCAATCTATAGCTAAATTCATTCTATGATTATTTGTAATAATGCCAATTTTTCCTGGGGCTGCCAAAATTTAGAGCGCAATGCATGAAATTTGTTGCAATCCTGGTGGGCCAATCGATTTCCGCAGCTCTTCTCCCAATCCCGTAGAAAAACCTGATTCTCGCCGTCTTTTGGATTAGTATTTTGATGATTTCCGCTCGGAACCCATGGGCAATTATATGACACCCTTTTGCCCACGCAGTGTCACCCTCGGGTGTTCAATGGTGCTGCCTTTGGGAGTTCTAACCTGGTTCTGTCGTGCTGGTTCTATCGCACCTGTTGCCTGAAGTATCGAATCGAGACATGCTGATAGTCCACAAATAGGCCTCCTCCCCAAGTATCCCACGCCTCTCATGACGCCCACTATCAGCTGTGGTGTTGGCAGTGCCCACGCCATGCGTGACACGGGTGGCCATCAAATGTCTAGGCAAGGAACATCCATGAAATTCCATGAAACACTCTGTATAACCATGTGTAAACCTGCCATTTGGACTGCAAAGTGGGGGCTGTCATATTTCTGGGGCAGGCTCATGGACAGAATACATTGCTGAGCAGCTTTGATGCTCTCCAGTTTCTTCCAGCACATCTTTAATTCGCATTGTCTATGATGCTTTTCCAGCAATCTGGATTCCGCTCCATGCTGAAAGGTTTGGCTCGAGCCTGGCTCTGGGACATTCAAATGCACATACAGTATAACCCGCATATGGATCCGCATACCTTCTGAGAAGGTGATTGGAGACTATTTATGTAGGCTTGGAGGGCCCAAATACCTTCTGAGAAGGTATGTGGATCCATAGTCAATATGCCACATTTGCTTTGGCATCCAACCTGGACGGGTGTGACTTCTGTGGAATGCCAGCCTTATGCGCTGCTCCAAAGGCCCCCTAGAAGTTCCTGCCAGTTGCCTCCATCTTCGGTTGTCACTGGCACATCTGAAAAGTCTTAAACAAACGATCTACATTAAACCGATCTGGCTGATTCTGGCTGTCTGTAAGTGCAAGGGCACTTGTTGTTGCATGAAACCAGGGAGATGAAGATCGTCGGGTTCAATCCCTTCTCAACGGGCGCAGCATCATGTGAGGCTGGCTCGTGGAAAGCAGGAATTTCCTCTCCCAGGCAATCACGATTCTTCCAGATTCACCTTATATCTAGAATCCATGTGCAGAACATAATCAAACAACCACATTCAAAACAAGCATCTGCTGGGATATGTTGGGACGTTGCAGGCGGGCTTTTGGAGGGTTTCTGGGAGAGCCCCAAGCCCATGCGCCCATGCAGCCAACCTCCAAGCCTCCACGTCTGGGCGTCCGGGCTTCCCTTTTTGAAAACTGGAGCGCGTCTTGTGGATGAACTGCAGCAGCTCTTCCACCACCACACCTTGGGCCATTGGGGCGCGTGCGTGGAGCGGCCGGTGGAGCGGGCACGGACAATTCGGGGAATCGAACACGGTGAACGCGAGCGAATCGCTGGCTCGCCCTTTATCGCGGGGGGGCTTAGTGAACGCAGTGAGCAGATTGATCAAAGCAAGCGGCAAGTGGCAAGTGTTGCCAATTAAACTACCAAGAAAATAGATGTACTCTTGATTTGAAAATCATCTTCAATTGGAGTGCTGCATATATTGATCAAGAGTCTACATTAGATGGAATCTGAAGAGATGTATAATTCCTACAGAGTTTGCCTGGCCTTGTAGCCCATCCAATATGTCCCGTACAGGGTCCCAGGTCTCTCGGTCTCTCAACCCCTCTGCAAATTTGGAGTCATCGTCCGTGTTGAAAGAACTCTTGCAGGCGCCAAATGTGCTTCAGAGCAGAAAACCTGGAACCCAAACGCTCCACACGCGCAGCTGAGCAGAGACTTGTTTTAAGAGGTGGTGGTGTTAACATCCGTGTCATATCAAAAATAGCTCAGCTCAGCTGAAATTTCATGGTGGGTCTGCGTGGTCAAAACCGTGCCCTTTCAGCAGCTCAGACCCTCTCAAGCCTCACTCGCCGAAACCATGCCACCAGAACCTCAAGGGTACCCTAAAATGGGCCGTGCGCATGTTCTCAGGTCTTTGTTCGACTCCTGTCTCGTTGGTCAAGCTGCCATCGCCATCTGTGTCCATGGTCCGGTAGAAGGACTTCATCTCCTCGGACGCTGGCGTCGGACCGGAGCCGGAGCAGTGTCAATGACCCACTGCCAAGTGTTCCAAAGAGTCCGGGACAGTACAAGTCTTCTTTCGAAGTGCCTGTAGAAAGCGGGAAACATCAATTGTGAGAGGTCTCTGCGGAATTTATAACGATTGAATTAATTATACCGTCAATTTATATTTATGCTGTATATATGATCAAAATTTCTGGAAGAAAATATCCTTCAACAGAACACACTGGGACAAATAGAGGGTCGGTGCTGCCAGGTACGCCAGGTACCGCATACCTGTTGTTTGCACACTTCGGAGGAACTGTACAACTAACAGGTATGCAGCACCAACCAACCAAACAAAAGCAAAGGGCCCATCTATGCTTCAGAATTTTTCCACAACTGCATCCCGGCTAAGATCAACCGCCAATCGAATCATCCTGCTGGTCTTACACACAAAACGTGTTTATTCTACAGCAATCAAGTTGAGCCTTCAAGATCTTCAAGACAGAGAGATGAGCACATGAAAATCCACCAGCGGACCACTCATTAATCTTATGCACCACCAGTTGGGCCCTGTTGAGCTCGTTGGTTGGGTCGGCCGTGGAATATGATCGGTTCGAGCGATTCTGTGTCGTGCGCCCCCCGCGTCAAACGCCCGGACGAGGAGCTGATTCGAAGACGTCCCATTTTGAGAGCTTCCTGAGGCATCGAAAACGGGCGAGTCCCACTCAAAGCAGGAAGAACCCTTTTTCTTAAAGCTAAGGTCAAACAGGGGAAGTGCTGAAATTACTTACTGTAGTATACGTCCTAGTAGCAACTTCAGTATGCAGCCTGCGCCTTTGCCCAGGTCCAGAAGCACCCGACCATTGGAACATTGGAGGGCCCTGCCTTTTGAAGGAAACCACCTGAAAAGGATAGTTCCACATTCAATATCATTCAAACATAATTGAATGTTGCCATCAATTATCCTCCTCATCCACCACAACTTCGACGTCAAAGCTGTGAGACTATGTGGCAGAACCGATGACCGCTCTTTCTTTTGCTTGGGCGCAACCGGTGCTTCCGGAAGCTTTGTTTTCATCCACCGTGGGACAGAACAGACCGCTCCAAATGGCCAAGGCGCAGATCGGAGCGCACGAAACTCAACAGCTCATGGATCGAGATCTTTCCTTGGATCGCATGCGGTGACAGTCGCAGTCGCCAACCCACACTGAAGTCCGGGGACCCGAAAATGATGAAGTATAAACATGGGAGGACATAGTGTGGGACCAAAACTAACTATATAACCAAGTGATATCAAGTGTAACTTAGCTGATGCACCTGCCGAAGCTTTACAGGCTCCCCCATACCAACCCACACTTCAGCCCTTAAAAGTAGGACTGGCACCAAAACCCTTGCATCTTCGTCTATGACAAGGAGGACGGTGCTTTTTTTTTAGGCCTTGAACCTCCTGTTTGTTTGAAGCACTTTGGTTTGGGTTCCAATGCATGTTTTTTGCCCCGTCACGTGGGGGTGGGCCATCGCTTTTGCCGCCGTGGGGCCATCGCTGCCGCGGTCGATCTTTTCAAAGAGCTTCTGCACTGCCTCGGTGAGGTCCGAGCGGCCCGGGGCCTTTGGGGCCCTTGGATGGGGCGAGCCGATTGCAGAGGGGCGAGCCCTTGGTGATGGCAGAAACTAAGTGTTGATGCATGCTTCAGGGAAAACATGCAATTCATATTGAGGGGCGAGCCTGGTCGCCACTTGAAGTCGTGAAGCAAAGACTCTTATGATGCGCAAGACTGTTTTCTGTGCGCCCACCAAATCAGGTAAATCTCCTTCGAGGCTATAGTCCAAGACATTGAAGAAACGTCCGGACTCGCAGGGCCCATCTGATTGAGAGTGCCGATGCTGCCGATGCTGGCGCAAACCCAAAAACAGGAGAGGGCGTTTTTCGGGTGATTTGTGGCAGCGTGACGACCCGACCACACACAGACAGACCAAGTAGGCACCCACTCCACTTCTGCGCAGCCGGAGGACCGACGTGGAAGCCGAAGGACTAACGTGGACAGAGATGCATAAAAAGCTTTACTCTACTATAAGCATCGCCAGCATCCTCAAAGGTCTAAGATTGCTCATGCGCCACCAAGCCCTTGGTCCACCAAATCGACGCCCATCCACACCTATCAAAAACCTTATGGTTTCACAAGGTGGCCCTCATCTTGGCAAATGTTTTGGAGTCTTTGGCCTCTGCCGACCTCTGCCCACGCACGAACCAAGGTGCGGCTTGATCAGTCCTCAGGCATGCAGGGCGAAACGGCCCCAAGAAAACAGGGCTTCGAAAGAGGTGGCTGCTTTCTTCCCAAATGAGCACCCGTCTTTCTGGTCCATCCGTCTTGTTCCCAAAGCCTTCGTGCGTTCGAGGGCCACTTGCTTGTCACGATTGGAAATGCCAAGTCTAAGCGATCGAAAGCCTCATTCCGAATTCCACACTTGGAGGTTCAAGGGGTACCACAGGCCACAAAACAACCTAATCACATGTGGAGCACTTCTGAAATCCAAGTGCTGAACCGTTGACAAGCATGAGGGAAGCAATTAAGCCAGTACTGTAATAGTTGTAATAGTCAATATAGTGATGTATAGAGCGGGCACAATATCAGACAAGGAAAAGAAGCGAAGTCCAAAGGAACCGGTTCCTTTTCATGAGACTGGAGGGCCTCCAAAGGTTCCACAATTGGGATTTGTAGCTATTTTTTATGCCTGTGTTCTCAGTTGCTGGTCCAGATCTGTTCCCAGCCAACTTAGCCATTCAAACATTTTTCCGAAGCATTGAATCAAATATAATCAATTGAATCAGCGCACTCGAGGTGCATGTTGGGCGTTCACCAACACACAACTTCTGATCATGATGCCTCAAAACATAGCTGAACATGGCCCCTAAATTCAAAGATTATCCGCATTGAATCCGGCTAACTTTGTGTTCTCCTTGCAGGTCTCAGACTTGGGAGCTTTCTGCCACCAGTTCCAGCTCCCGATACCTCCCGTGATCGGAGCTGCTGGAACTTGTTGAACGCCATCCTCAGGTTGCCTCAGCACGACGATTTTTCCACCTCTCCAGATCTTTTCCTCACATCTTTTGATATGTTTTGAAGCTTTTGGTGCTTTTATTTCGGGGCGAATCGAACCTTTGGGGCCGATCCCAGGACCTCGGTGCATGGAGCAAGATCAACTCACCTCGGTCCGTGTCCGACTTCGAAACACACACCATCACACCCCTCCCATGGCCGCCCCGCCCGCGCGCACCGGGCCGACTGAGGCCATCCCCGCCGACTGAGGCCGC